GTAAAAAAAAAGAATTCTTCTGTTTAAAATGTATGAAGTTAAAACATGGTGGACAACAAATGCCAAGGTGTCTTTCTTCTCTTTTCAAGATATGCCATTTCAGTTGCTCGGAAGATTGGTGCCCGGATATATGCATTACCTGATGACCTCGTAGAAGTAAAACCAAAGATGGTCATGACAGTGTTTGCCTGCCTCATGGGAAAAGGACTGAACAGAATAAAATAATGAAGCATTTACTATCATCTGCCACATTAAACACACCGAATGTCTCCGTTTACAGAATTTTGAATTGTAGTGGCTATAAAATCAGAGTGTCTGTATGCTCAAAATAGTTCTGTATTCAGTAATGAATAACATTTTGTCCATACTAGTTAGAATTTCTCAATCTTTTTGATTACTTTAACAATCAATACCAAGACAGGAACATCTTATCAAGCTGCTATTTCAAAATTAAATTATTTTATTTCCTAAAGGTCTTACAAAATAAGACTAATCATTCTTTTTCATAGCTCCAAAAAAGATCTGTATAAAGTTTTGTCAGGTCCTGCTATTAAATGTGTTTGGATTTTTTGAAGTGTTATTTAATTTTGATCACAAATGTACCTAAAGTCATAGTCCAACTCAATCCTTTTTTACCTCTGTAAAGGGATCTACAACTGTAACCTTGCTGTAAATTTCTATCTCACATATAAATTTAAAGGGGTAAATATGGCTCACCAACATAAAACTTTTTGAATATGAAAACTAATTCTTGAATAGACCTCAAGGTTCACTCTCTTGCATAAGTTGTAGGAACTTTTTACTTAAAGTTTGATTGTAATTGCATTGCTATTTTACATGTCCTAGTTTGATAATATAGCCTTATTTCTGACATGTAGCACAATACTATATGTTGGTAAGATGCTACATATATGTTTTTCCCTATACCATCTGAATTGCCCATATTTTCTCAAATGGTATGTATTAAGTGGTCAGCTAGCCATTAAGTATTTATTTTGCCCCTAGAAGATGTGTGAGATCTGATATGTGAAGATATCTTTTACAAATATTAATTATGAATGTGTGTATAGTTATTTTTTCACCTAATTCCTTTCAAATACTTGCAGCCAAACACTGGATAGACCATCCCAACTGACATCGATACTATCCTGTTAGCATCGCATTACACTTGCTAGTTTCATTACTAGTTGTAATGAAGCCGACATAATTAGAATATGTCCACCAAATAACCTCAGTAGAAAGCACATAACAGCTAATGTCCATCATAGTTTTGTGTTTCTCACAGCCGTGTGTAACCTGGAAATGTTTAAGGTTTGTGTTCCTTAGGAAGAGTTAAAACTTGAAACCTCTTTCCCCCAGAATTTTTAGCAGTAGAGAAATTCTGTGGCTCATAGTGGAAGCCAGAAATACGCTCCCACCTTCCACTTTAGTGCCAGTGAGCTCTCCTACTGTGTGGCGGAAGTGCTTCGCTTTTCTCTGTGCGAATGAGTTGTCTACATCCTCCCCCTCCCCTGGTCAAAGCATTTATGTTAAGGGTGAGAGTGTCTGTGTCTTTAGGGTAGACTTTTTTAAATGAAATACTAACAGGTGGAGTTCTTAAATATATTCTTCTACAAGAGATTTCTTTGCCTTTTATATTTTGATGATTGTTTTCTTATATGAAGATGTAAGTAGGCTTTTGCTCTTCTGAGAATATTTAAATCATGCTTCTCTGATTTTTTTCACCGTCATATTTACTAAGATAATCTGATTGACATGGAATTTAGTACTTTAAGGCATTCTTTTTCTCACAAAGTATACTTAATAAAATGCTGTGTATGTAGAATGCGTATTTGTGTATTCATTTCATTTAAAGAAATCTATAGAGCCTTCAATATTGGTCTGTTATAAACTTATTTACCACAAAAGAATACAACACCTAAATGAAGAAATGCAAAAACTTACTTCTTTGGAGGTCAGGTTTCTTTTTCTTTCATATAAGAAAAAAATTAAGAGGCTGGAAAGATGCCTCAATAGTTAAGAGCACCCACTGCTCTCCCAGAGGGCTCTGGTTCAATTCCCAGCACCTACATGGCAGTTCACAACTGTCTGTAACTCCAGTTCCAGAGGATCCGGCATCTTTACACAGACAGATATGCAGGCAAAACACCAATGTACATAAAACAAAAAATAAAATTTTTAAGAAAGAAAAATTAAAATTCAAAATTGTACTGTTTTTTATCATTGTGTGTGTAGATGATGTGTGTTGATGGACATGCATGCATTATACATGTGGGGGCCAGAAGACAGATTTGTGGAGTCTGTTTTCCCTAACACCTTTCTGGGAATAAACTCAGGTTTTCACCAGGAGGTGGTAGTGCACACCTTTAATCCCACCCAGCACTTGAGAGGCAGAGGCGGGCAAATCCATAGGCCAACCTGGTCTAAGGAGCAAGTTCCAGGACAACCAGGGCAACACTGAGAAACCCGGTCTTGAAAAATCATCAAAAACAAAAACTAAGGTCTTCAAGTTTTCACAAACAGCACTTTTATTCGCTGAGCCATCTCACCAGCCCTCATATGAAGAATTTTGTTAGCGACTACCTACATGACTATTACACATTTAGTTTGTGATGAAATCATTTGAACAAGTAAAATTCACTAGCACAAATTTATTGTCTCCAGTGTTCAAATACTACATGAGATTCTTGGGATTCAGCTAAGAAAAAAAAATAGACAGTCTTTTGACCTAAATTCTAGTGGTGACAGTCAGCCAACAAAGAAATAGCAGTAAATAAAGCAAGAAAGGAGTAATGATTATGGATGGAAGAAGCAGGAGGATGTGCTACAGTGGGACTTGGGAGCTGAGGGGAGATTATTTGGGTAGTTAGGCAAGGGGTTTTGTTTTGGGCTGTGCTCAGCAGGGAAACAAATGCAAATAGAGCCTAGCAGGCCCTGTGAGAAAGAAACAGACAGAGGTGGCCCTAGATCAGTATGGGGAGGACGACGTTGAAAAATATGTGTAGGATCTACCTTACTTGTAGGGCTAGATCTAATTTCCCTTCTCTTGAGTTGGGATTTTTTTTTTATACCTGTGACTTGAGGGAGTGGCTTGAAGTAATATTACTTCTGAGTTTTGCATTCAGTTGTTCATCATAACTCCATTCCTGGTCTGTAGCACGAATTCTAATCGGACTTAATAAATAAAACCTGAGTCAGATATTAGGGGGTGAAAGCTAAGAGATCACAGAAGCAGTGCAGCCAGCCACTAGAGAGACCTTTTACAAAAACTACCAATACTCAGATGGAGGGATGATCGTGTCCTCAGACTGCATTGAGCTCCTGTCTCCTCCGCCTTATATTCCTCTCTCTGACTAGCCAGATCACTCTTGTCTCCACTACCCAAGTGCCGGGATCACCTTTGTGGGAACAGTTTCTCTTCTAGACAGATTCAATCTCCTGTAGCCCAGGGTGGCCTTGAACTAACAGAGATCCCAGTGTCTGTCTCCCTAGTTCTGGGATTAAAGGCACGCACCATCACTCCCTGGCCTCTAGTGGTTTAGCTCTGCACTCTGATCTTGAGGCAAGCTTTATTTGTTAAAACACAAACAAAATATCACTACACTGGTCTTCATATTTTACATGCAAAATGTGTAAGTGACTTTGAATGATCCAGTTTGTGCTGGTCAAGCAGTTTACTAGAGAAGAAGAAAAAAGAAGATAGTCTATAACTGAGACCATCCAAAAACCTGAAGTGTAACACCAGGTTGCCCGAGGTAGACTCTCATGCTTTAGAAGCTCTCCTAAGATTTCTACCACAGTGGGATGGAATTCCTCCAAATCTTAGAAGTTAATCCAGGCCCCATGGCAATTCTTTGGCTAAAGAACCTGTGTATAGGGCTGTGAACCATTTGAATTCTTTAACTTCAAACAGTGAAATTTTGGATAGGCCAGGGTTAGAGTTCTGCTACTGACTGAACATTTGTGGATCAATAAAATGTATGCATTTTTGTGTTTCCACTGGACTCACCATGAGTCACTTGGAAATGTCACAAAATACATAAACTTGGAACTGTATTACAGAATAATAGGGAGATTGTCTAGAAACCAAAAACAGAATGACTCTAGAGGCTATTTTAAAGTAAACATAGAGAAAAATGCTTGAGAAGGTGTCTTTGGAATCTCCTACGGCCTTTTAGAGAACATCTAAAGAGAATGTTGATTTTAAAAATTAGGAAATTAAAATATTGGTTGAGAAAGTAATGGGACAAAGCAACCTGAATGGGAGAGGAAGTATTCCCCTCAAATTTAAGATATTCCTAAGTAAATTTATTCCATGTCTTAAAAATCTAAACCCTAAACACAGAATTCAGATTTTCCCCCAGCATTGACTGTAGGAAGCAATAGGAATTATTGAAAAGATGTAATTTCAAATCACACTTGCTGTGTGTCAATCAGCCTATGCCTAAATAACAAACCTCTTAACATTAGATGTGATAAATGTAACTAATTCACTGACAGGACTGTGTGGAGAGTTAAGTCCTAAACTGTGCATACGCAATGCTTATAGGTCACCTTTGAATTACATGTGAATGCATATATATAATGACTTTAGACATATCAGGAATGTTAGACCATATTATAATCACAAGAGAAATTATAAACGGCCTTTAGGAACAAGGGTAACGTAAACACAAACACAAACTCCAAAATCGGGTTGCTTGGCCAGGCTCTAGGACAATTCCTCAAAAGCTCAATGGCACACTGCGGTGCATTTACTTTCTGTGCCGCAGCAGCGACAGCAGCAGCAGCTACCGCTAATCTGCAACCTAAGAACTGCGACCAGGTGGTTCCCAGGCCCCTCCTCGGGTTCCTATAGGTGCTGCAGGGGCGCTAGGCGACTGACGAGGGCGGGGCGTCAGGCCTGGAGCCCCGCCCACCGGTCCCGCCCCGGCAGACCCCGCCCCCTCGAGGCGGGCTTCGCCGCCAGCCCCGCCCCGGTGTCGTCGCCTCCGCGGGGCTGAGGGTGACGTGAGGAGGAGAGAGCGGCGAGCCTCTGCCTCCCGCGGGTGCAGCCGGGCCAACGGTCCCCACAGCCCCGGAGCCTGACGTGCGGCGAAGCGCAGCGCCGAGCTCCTCGGCCGGCGGCCCCCTCACTCCCTCCCAGGCCGGGCCGCCCCCTGCGCGGCCCCCGCGGCTCCTGGCACGGCCCCGCGCACCGCTGCCGCCCTGGCGCGCTCCACTCTGTCGTCCCCGGACGGGCGCGGACCAGCTCGACCGGGGCGTCGGCGGCTGGGCAGAGGGCGCTGGCCCCGGGGTCGCGCCGGTGCGGCCACCAACCTGGGGCTGTCCGTGGAGGGCGAGTGCTGGTTCCGGGGCGAGGCGACGCCCTACGGGGCCAACGGGCCGCAGGCAGATGTGGCCCTGGGAACGACTCACCCGTTTTCCAGCTCTGGGGCGGGGCTGGGGTCGGGGTCGGCGCCCATGGGGGCCCAACCTCCGTCTCCTGGCCTACCCCCGTCGTGGGCCGCGATGATGGCGGCCCTGTACCCGAGCACGGACCTCTCGGGAGTCTCCTCCTCCTCCCTGCCTTCCTCCCCATCCTCCTCGTCGCCCAACGAAGTGATGGCGCTGAAGGATGTGCGGGAGGTGAAGGAGGAGAACACCTTGAATGAGAAGCTTTTCTTGCTGGCGTGCGACAAGGGTGAGAGCTAGGCCCCTTTCTCCGCCTCTGGACACCCTAAGACTCACTCCCTGGGTCCTGCCCGTGCCGCCTCAACTTACTCCCGAACTCCCGCTTTTTCTTGCGCCCAGCGGCTAGTCCCTACCTGCGAGACCCGCAGGACTTCTGCCCGGTTGAGCAGGAGCCTGCAGGCAGGAAGGGCGGGGGCGGTGGACTCCTGCAGGTGGGATGTTTGGTGGCTAGTTGGGTGCCCTGATCCCAAAGTTGCCCCACTGCTGCCACTGACAAACTCCAGGTTGGAGTCCTATCTTTGGGAGCCAGAGGCTAGTTTTGGACCTTCTAAGTCGAAAATTCTGTTTATTTCCCTTACGATTTCTCCAATTCATGGGCTGTCACCTTGCAATTTTTTTTTTTTTTAATCTAAAGACTTCTGTTTAGCATCAGCTGCCAGTGCCTGCTGCAGTTGAGTGGAATTAGGTATTCCATTATCCTAAGCAGAAATAATATGAAATCAGGACGAGACAGGAAAAATCCTGCCCTACTTTCCAAAACTTTCCCTAAACTTATGGAACCCCCTTTGAGTTTTGGTATTTTAAAAAAAAAATAGGGAGAAAGGTTTATTGCTTCAGAGAGTTGGTGGAAGGCAAAGGAAATGAAAAATAAGTACAGGCAAAATATGTGCAGTATACTGTTTTTGAATCTAGAAACTGATCACTTTATGAGCACATGAAGAGATAGGCATGCTTTCGAGTGATGCGTTGTAATGCAGGAGTGGGAACTTGATTGCTCTCAGACTACAGTTGGCTGCTAACTGGAAAAAAAAAGTTCTAGAACATTGTCATGCCTCAGTTCAGCAGTGTGTTGTGCAAAGGCTGTGTTCGTTTAGGAAAACCTTGTTAGAACTATGCAGACTTCCAAAACCTAATTTTAGAGGCCACCTTACACTGTGGGAAAGTTAGTTACAGAAGTTTTTGGTTTTGTTTACATATGTTTGCTCAAGTCAACAACAGTCTCCCTAGCCTTTTAAAGCTTTTGAAATAGCTTTTCATTCTTTACACAATTACACTTGATCTTAGCAAGGCAAAAAGCAATTATTTATGCTTTTTTGAAAGCACATTGACATGTAAACAAAGTCTCCTTATATCTGTTGCCAACTCACTTTTATGTTTTACGGGTAATATTAAATAAATAAGCATTTTCTTAAAGTCTACCATAGGCATCTTTGACTACTCTTAGAAATATAAAGAAATACAAAATGTATGTCTGTAATGTCCCAAAATTATGATCTGTAGATTATATAAATTACTTAATTTTTCCCCAAGTGCTTTGCCTGAGTTGTTTCCCTCAAAAATTATCTAAACGGAGAAAGGAAATGATGGTGTTGTACTACAGCAGTCAAGAACCACTGCTTTTATTCTAGTGAACTGTGTGATTATTTAACGTATGTTAGGAAAGGAAATTTGATATTCTTGTCAAACTGAGAACAGAAAAGTGTTGTAATGGAATATGACTGGAGCAGGTACTTTTGTGATAAATATATTTAGAATGGTTGCGTGAGAGTTCTCAAAAGGAGTTTTAATTATAAAAGTTTTATAAACTGCCCATAGTCCTAGTTGAAACAATTTGAGATATCTATATCTGTCTATCTACCTATGGAAACTGGCATCTGATACATACATATATATTTATAACATCATTAAAAGCCTTGGAGAGATGAAGAAGTAGAACAGGGGTTAATGTGCTATGATGAAGAAGCTGCATATTTCTTGCATAAAGTTTTAATTTGCATTTATTTTAAAAATGAGTTGAAGTTAGAGGAACACGTATTTTTGTTTATGTTCATAATCACTAATATTGTTAAAACATTTTAACGTCCAAATCAAATATAAAAAAAGTGGAAAAATTCTTGAAATAGCTCTAACTCCCACTTTTACAGTGAAATCTTCATTAGCCCAAATGGCAAATGTTTACTAAAGTAGCTTTGGAGTGGAGTGCTCATGCGTTTTGTAGACCCTTTCATCTAATGCTCAGAGGGACCGGGGATATAGCTCAGCGGTAAAGCACTTGCCTAACATAAACAAGGCCCTAGGTTCAATCACCAATACTGCTACTTTAAAATATATATATTACATATATATAATATATATGCATGTTCCATGTAATTTAATCCTCACAACTTCATGTATCAGATCTGTTGTTTGTATATGTATATATACATATATGTATGTATATATATGTCAAGCCACTAGTATTGATCTGATTATAGTTGAAGGTTTAAAAATAATTTATGTTAGAAAAGACATCCATATGTGGATGTACTAGTTGGAAATTAACTCTTATCTGTATGGATAGTTTATAAACTTTGTTTTTTGTGTAAATGTAAAAAACAAGCATGAGATCCTTAATAGGGCCAGAAAAATCAACTAGTTACATTTAACAATCCTTTCTACATGAATGAACTGTTTGTAGTATAGTCTTCTAGAACTAGCTCTTGTAGACCAGACTGGCCTCGAACTCCCAGAGATCCGCCTGCCTCTGCCTCCCGAGTGCTGGGATTAAAGGTGTGCGCCACCACCACCTGGCAAGGCTAGAGATTCTTAAAAGAAAATTTACAACAGTGTGGTGGTTGTGTGTATTTTCGTGGATGAATGGCAGTTTAAAATAAACAGTGTACAGAGTAAGGAGTAAACAAAAATAGGGAAGAGAGAGATTTTATGGTTTGGAATAACCAGCTTTTATGTAAATTAGTTCAGTCAATCTATGCAATTGCGTATCTTAGTATTAATCAATTAGTAATGGTTCTTGTGGATCATCAAAATAGATCAGAATCACCTCAAAGTTAACTCTTGGTCCTTTTTTGTATTAAAAATAATAAGGAAAATTGGATTGAAATTTTCTGTACTATTGATGTACAGCAGAGTTTTATATAAACCTATCAAATTTATGTAAACGTACCAAGTTCTTTTTTTAGCACCATTTACATCTTCACCTGTGTTCTATGAGATGTATTCTTGCCAGTATTCAATATGAGAGTGCGTCGAAGCTACACCAATATTTATATTGAAGAAGGCTATTTTTATTGTTTTTATTGAACTACACATTTTTCTCTGCTTCCCTCCCTTCCTCCCCCTCTCCACCTACCCTCTTCTGTGACCCCCAAACTCCCAATTTACTCAAAAGATCTTTTCTTTTTCTCCTTCCTATGTAGATCCATGTTGTCTCTCTTAGGGTCCTCTTTGTTGTCTAGATTGTCTGGGGTTGTGGACTGTAGGTTGTGTTTTTTTTATGTCTAGAAGTCACTTATGAGTGAGTACATATTATATTTGTTTTTCTGGGTCTGGGTTTCCTCACTCAATATGTTTTTTTCTAGATCCGTCCATTTGCATACAAATTTCAAGATGTCATTTTTTACCACTGAGTAGTAGTACTCCATTGTGTAAATCTACCACATTTTCTTTATCTATTCTTTGGTTGAGGGGCATCTAGATTGTTTCCAGGTTCTGGCTATTACAAATAATGCTGTTATGAACATAGTTGAGCACATGTCCTTGTGGTATGACTGGGCATCCTTTGGGTATGTACCCAACAGTGGTATTGCTGGATCTTGAGGTATATGGTACAGCTACTTTGGAAATCAGTATGGCGTTTTCTTAGAAAATTAGGAAATAATCTACCTCAAGACCCAAATAAAATTCTTACAAAGTATATATGTGAATTTTTTGTAGACAGAGAGGCTTTAATTTAAGCTAACTGAACAAGAGCTGCCAATAAATGTTTTGTATCATTGATGTTAAGTAGACCACCATGTTTTTCTTATTGAGAGTTAGTGTGGTAATTAGCCTGTTTGTTTGTGGGAGCCTCTGATCTCCCTAAGGCCTCTTGCCTGCTGAAAGGGTAAGTAAAGTTTTAGCAAGCACCTAAACTTAAGTATGTCTTTATTTTTTCTCATTTAAAGTGTTAAGTAGATGATGCTTTAAAGCATATGTGTGAATGTAAGCCTTTTGTTTGTTGATATCATTAATTAGTGCTTATGCTGAGTAGGGAAGAATGAATATTTACTCTCTGCCAGTGCTGCATGTGGAGTACTAGCAGAAGATTTGTATTTTCTCTAGCAGTCGCTTCTGAACATTTCACTGTGGAGTTAGAGAAGGTGGAGGGGGGCAGAATTTCACCTGTACCCCGGGAGTCATACTAGTTTGTGTTCCATCACCGTTGTGGTAGCCTTGCTATGTTATAAGGAAGGATACTTTAAGTTTCTATAGAAGCTCTGTGTACCTCTGGGCTCAGGAAGCGTTCAAAGTGCGCAGCATTTCCTTGAGAATCGTGCCACTGTTGTGTTAATACTTAAGATGTTTATATGTACTTTCTGTTTTGGAAGAGATTTGAAGGGTGTAAGGTTAGAGAGGAGAGTAGTTTGGATGATTTAAATGCAGATTCCTGAGTATTGCGGAGTTTTGTGTTGTTAGGCAGCACCTAATATGTACACTGGGACTGGAGAGATGGCCCAACTGTTAAGAGCACTAACTGCTCTTCTAGAGGTTCTGAGTTCAATTCCCAGTAACCACACAACCATCTTTAATGAGATCTGGTGCCCTCTTGTGGCCTGAAAGCAGACATGCAGGTAGAATAATGTATACATAATAAATAAAAAACTTTTTTAAAAAATGATATGTACGAGGAAAATAATTTGCAGAAAGGAGGGATGATAAGAGTATAATTAGCATCAGGAATATTGGGGTTGTCACAGGCATTCTAAACAGCTTGTGAAGTATCACTAGTTACAGATCATATGCATTCTGTACAGGGAATCTTCGTAAATCAACAAAGCTGTGGAATGTACTAGCTGAGAAGTGTAGCCACAGGGAGCGGTTCTCAGTGACTTTAATGATCGGTGCCTGAGCAGCTAGCTGCCTTACTGGCCTGTGTAGTGATCTCATGGTGCGTTTCTTTTTCCTATTTTTAATTTCCTGCTATTTGCCGTGCTATCAAAATAGCTCTTAATTGTGTTAACACAAAATAGCTCTTAATTGTGTTAAGGAATTGGACAAAAAGCTGTTATTAGTGAGTTACTGACTACATCAATATTCTTTACGAGTTTTTCTATTATAAAGATGTTTTCTTGGCAGAAGTAAGGAACAGTAGGGTAAAAAGATGTTATAATTGTGTATATAATAGATCTCTCTGAGCAAATGTTCAGTTTATCTTAAATGGCCCATATGACATTTGGAAGATAGGCTATTCCTAGTACAGAGCACTCTCTCCTGGGAAGTTGAAAACAAACTATCCAAGTGAAACCTCAGTGTATTATGAGGCTGAAAGATTAAATTTGAATGCACCAGCTCTGTTGTAATCGGAGATTCTCTTGCCCCATTAGAGTATCATAAATGTCTTCTTCAGACTAATTCCATCAAAGTTAATGATGTTAAGAAGTCTAAGACTAGGAATAATAGTTTAATATAGGTAATGAAAAATTCAAATACTATTTAGAAGCAATAAATGATAACATTAAAATCAGGAGTGAATGATTAGGACTAAAAGATTCCAGTACCATATCAATTATTTATGAGTTTAGTAGAATTTCTTTGGGTTCCAAAGCTTTTACCTCTTAGTCTGTTTTAAATATTAATTGGGATTTTTTTTTCTTTTGACACAGAATTTCTCTGTGTAGCCCTGGTTGCTCTGAAATTTGCTCTGTAGACCAGACTGGCCTCAAATTCAGAGATCTTGCCTTTGCCTCCATCTGCTGAGATTAAAGGCATGTACCACCACTGCCTGCCTTAATTAGGAATATTTTAAGTAAAATGTTATAATTTCAGGCCCAAAGGTTTTTGTAGAAAGTTTGGTTTGAAAAGATTTGTAAATTTTTGACACAAAGTTTCCCACACTTTACAACTAGCTTCAAGTTCTGTTTGGTTAATATAAAGTTTAAAAACTGGTCAACGTTTTTGGTGGAGTTGGGGGAGCTGGGATTTTTTAGACAGAATCTTAGTCTCTAGTCCAATTTGTCCTGGAATTTGCTGTGTAAGTAGCCTAGGCTGGCCTCAGCTTGCAACAGTCCTACTTCTGTCTCCTGGGTTCTGCAGTTATAGACGCGAGTCCCCACATGTGATAAAACTGACCAGCATTAATGCTGTCATCAGTAATGATGAAATTTATATTCATATGTTGGAAAGTCAGATGAGAAGCCAGTGAGAAAATAGAGAATCATCTTTATAAATAATATTATACATTTCTCTACTCTCCATCTCTCAACATTTATAAGAGTTGAACAGAGTAAATTTATTGCTGAGGGTCTATGGGATCACCTTGAAATTTTTTTATACTATTTATTTGATGACCCAGTTTCCAGTGGGCTTCCTAGAATTCAGTAAACACTGTGTCCATTGAGAATGTTAAAAAATCATAAGATTGATATGCTTTGAATTTTACAGAATGGACTGACAAGGTAGGGCTAGACAATGGGTGACCAACTGATTCATAAGCTAAGTCCAACTCTTTTTCTAAAGTCTGTGAGTTCAGACTGGCCTTTACATTTTATATTTCAGATACTTAAAAATATTTCTAATTAAAAGAATGGTATTTTTAAAACATAAAAATTCTGTAAAATTCAAAAAACTGTATTGGGGCACATCCTCAGTTGTTTTATGTGGTCTGTGCCTGCTTTGGTGCAGATGCGACTGGGTAATTGTGACTGAGTTGTCATGTCCACAAAACATAACATATTTTACTGCCTGGCCCCTTTTCAGAGCAATTTTGTTGACCCCCTGTGTCAAAATGTAAAGCATTGTATGAGTAATAATACAGAAAAGAGCCCATTGTGAACTGAATCCAAGTTCATTTTGTATAGAGGCAGTTAGTTTAAAGGGTTAGAGAGGAGTGAGTGGGGGTTCCATAGAGTCAGGGAATGGAAAAATTATGAAACAGCAGGGAAAATGTACAAAAAGTGGATGGTTTTGAAAAAGTGGGTGGATTTATGAGAAACCAGTGTGGATTTGTTACCTGGCACTAAAGGTGGTTAGATGGCTGTCTTTTCACGTGGACCAGGAAATGGGTTCTATCTTCAACGTTCAAATGAACCAACAGCCATGACTTTCCTCAGGTGTGTATTTGCAGAGGATCATGCTAGTGATGCATTGTGGAGCATCGTAGGCTAAAGGAAATGTTTTGGCTAAGTCTTGTGGGCTATGGAAGCTTCATATGGGAAAAAAGGGACCATTAGCTTGCTTAGGATTTAGTCCAAAAGAAAATCTTCAGTGGTTCTATCAGTTAGGAGGCTGTTTCACTGTCCAAAAGGATTGATAATAGTTTGGATGAGGTTAGCTGTGTTCACAGGGACAGGTGAATGGGTGTGGGAGATGCTTAGAGGTCACACTGAGATGACTTGCTGTTGCGTTGGTGCACCACCTATGGAGTAGACTGAAAAATAGTTTGTTTTCTTTGTTGAACAAAGACAACTAGGGACTGGAGGTGGCAGATAAAGTGTGCCTGCTCTGCAGACATGAAGACTGAGTTTGGATCTCCAGCTTTCATGTAAAAAGCAGAGTGTATTGATGTTAAGTCAGTAACCCTGAGCAAGCCTATCCCTGGAGCTTGGTGGTAGCCAGTCTAAGCCAGTCAGTGAACTCTGAGCTCAAGGAGAGATCCTGTCTGGGGCTGAGGGTGGGGATAGAGAGCAGTAGAGGAAGATACTCAACCCTCTAGCTTCCACATTCAATACACACACACACACAAAACAAACACACAATTAAAAATAAATTAAAAAAGCTAACTATACCATCAAAAAAGTAAGCGAATTATATTGCTTTTCCAAAGGCAAGAGATATGACTTGAAACACCTTCACTATGAAAGGAAAACATCATCTGGAATAGCAGGCATTTTGAGCATCTGGGCAGTTAGCCTGCTTCTTGTCTTGTTAAGTTTTCTAACCTCTTTTCACATATGCATCCATCCTCAAAGTTAATAACTCTTCTACTCTTTATGGCATATCACTTGCAGATATAAACTTTAGTAGCTAGAGTGACGTTTAAGAAGTAGTGGCTGAAAATATTGCAAGATTAATGAGGCACAATGACCTTAGATGTGAAAAGTCTATTGCATTCCAAAAAGGTGAATTTAAATGAGTGACCTCACCTAGATATACCAGGATAGCAAAGCGGAGGTTTATGGGTAGCGTTTTCTTAACCCTAGGCTTAAAAGGTGATTTGTCTGAAATAGTTTTAAATGTTATTTTTTTGGCAATAGTGATGTCATTTGGCACAGCTCAAGACTAAGAACATTGCTTCTTCAGTGGAATTTACATGTTAATTAATGCTATTGGGAAATTATTTCATAACTAGTTTTTTTATTTTTGAGACCTAAGGAGATGTATTATTAAGAAAACTATTATTCCATTTCTTTTTAAAACATAAGCAGGTATTTAAAATATTAGGAAGTCTGACATTTTCACAAATAACATCTGTTACCTTAGCTGCAGTATTGTTTTTCTTATTCATTTAATCTAATGTTTTCTCTCTGTGTACCATGAAAGTATTTCTTTTCTCTTTCCAGTTTCCACTCTGATTATTCTTTCCCTGTTTCTTACTCACAGACATCTAAGGAATAACTATGTAAAATCGTTTATCCATTTTGTATTTAAAAAGTAAAATGAAACAAGTATCCCCTTGCTTTCTTTTCTCTAATGAACATTTCCCTTTGGATTTTTATTTCTCTTTTTTCCTGCACAGTCTCAGCAGGCAAATAAACTGCGCCTTTGGTGACAGTAATTCCCATTGTCCTCATATGGACTGACCGTTCTGTGGTCACCTCAGTCAGGGAGAAGATAGCTTGCCTGCTGCTGATAGGCCAAGCAGTCATTCTAGCCCCAACTTGGTGTTTTGTGAGCTGGATGGTCCCTGTTTATTAACACTACACTTCACCTTCCTTAACAAGATGGGATGTGCACGTGCATGCACGTGTGTGTGTGTGTGTGTGTGTGTGTGTGTGTGTGTGTGTGTGTGTGTGGAGAGAGAGAGAGAGAGAGAGAGAGAGAGAGAGAGAGAGAGAGAAGGAGTAAGAATTTAGGTGCCCTGTCTATATATACTGTCAAATTCATGCTACTTTTTAAATGTATGCTTTCCCCCTCTTTCTAATATTCTCTCTCCTGTTTTCCATTTTAACCAATATGATGCATGAGTAACTGTGTGTATGAGATCCAAAACTAATTCCTTCTAAGTTTCATTTTATTTTTTTATAAGAGCTGTCTGACTGTATTTTGGGTTATTCTTTATGAAATTATCCTACATATCTTCTATAAGTTTTTCTCCTTATAACATTGGGTAAAGAATTTTAAGTAAGAAATTTTTATAACATGATACACATTTTTTCTGCTAGTGTTTTATATTTGCTGCTTATATGTGTATTATTTTATCAAGTTATACTTTTTTTCCAGGAAATGTTCACATTTTCTGTGCACATGTCCACATGCAAAGCAAAATTGAGTTTAGGTATTTTTAATCTTTTAATTCAGCAGGATAAAAATTTTCTTATACTCATTCTTGTTTAATGTCTTAAATATTAAAGTATGTTTGTATATTGTTATTTAGGTGACTATTATATGGTTAAAAAGATTTTGGAGGAAAACAGTTCAGGTGACTTGAACATAAATTGCGTAGATGTGCTTGGGAGAAATGCTGTTACCATAACTATTGAAAACGAAAGCTTGGATATACTGCAGCTGCTTTTGGACTACGGTTGTCAGGTACAAGGCTAGATGATTTTATCCAGTAGCGTCTAAGAAATGTTAGCTATGCCTGCTTTCCTCTTTCCTCCTAGCTTACTTTCTTCTTCTTTCCTTTGTTTACTCTCTCTTCCTTTGCCTTCCACCTTCTATTTGGTTTTAAGCCACTAAAGAATTTACAAAACAATCCCAAATAAGCTATTTAAAAATGTAATATTTTAAATTTATTTGTGTTTTTCTTCCTGTTTCCTTTCCCTACATCAGACAAAAGTAAACGATCATGAATTATTAAAGATGACATTATTTTTATTACTGATAGGATAACTATTTGTATGAATACTAAAAATAGTGCGAGTGTCATAGAAGTGCCAGGGGACAGGGTTTTCTGTGGCCCATGTTATTTATAGACACATGAACAAAATGTTCCTCACAAAACAACTTACAGTTTGATTTGGTTTCTCCGGTTTTATTATGTTTTCTCTTTGTTTGAAATGTAGAGTTTGCTTTCATCTAAAGATGAATGATAGAACCTGCCCTTTGTCTTCATGTCCCTTAAGGTAGAGCAGGCGTGCGTGCACACCTTGAAGGACAAGTTAATTGGCATTATGTCCTCTCCCTTTGGGTCACTCATGGTGAACATAGCACAGAGCTCTGGCTCCTCTGCTGCAGCTGTAATGAGGCGTGGCGTTTGGACTGCGTGGCGTTTGGACTGACATCAGGAAACGCAGCGATTGCTCTTAGTGTGATAGGCAGGTTTAGCTACATCCCTATGATTTATATCATAATGTGAACTTGTGAGTGACTTATATGTAATGTATATGTCTATATTTAAGTATACAAACACATACACACTTAGGGTAGAAAGGGAAATTGGGTACCTAGCCACTTTAGCTACCACCTAGAGTACAACAAGAAACTAAGTGAGAAGGGCCTCTGAGCTGCCATTGTCATTTCCATGAGGTTTCTGGATTTCGTTCAGATGTAGAACACTTCTCCTTTCTCCTTCACAGCCTGCTTTTTCTCATTTTAGATTTCATTTTAACAAACTTAAAATTTTAGATTTCTGATCTGAAGAGGATCAAGAAAGGCCATAAAAGGGAGCATAGAGCTGTAACTGAGCAAAATGAAGCATGGGACCACTCACATTGTTTAATTCGAGATTTTTAGCACTGAGTGTCTGCCTGGTGGTTAAACTTTATAACTGGTTTAGCATCAATAAGGAGAAGTTAAATTATATTCACTACCTAAAACCTCAGATGAAAGAACATATATATTTATGTATGTATATATGTATCCTTTAAAAGCAGAAAACTTTCATCAAAATTATTTAAAATTTAAATTTAAACACTTAAAGGCATAAGCTTCAGTTACCTAGAAAATAAAGTTATAAAGAAATTCAGTCCTTGATTATTTTGGATAAGAAATGTTATAATAACTGCATTTACACGTATGGTTTTATATACATACTAATTCTCCAGTAACATGATTCTTTCACACTCTTGATTATATTTGAACATCACAATCAGACTATCTAGTTGCTGTATCTTAGAGATCATAAAACTGAGGCTCACAGACTTTAATGGATTGCCCAGAGTTGTAAAATTAGTAAAGGCAAGCTAATACTTGAATTTAATCTTTTGGCTGCAAACCCCATGCTCTTTCCAGTTCTCTGTATTCTGTCCAAGTAACCTGTGCCTCATTCTGTCAGCTAGCAAATGTCCAAGACCTTAGCTGGGTGTGATGGTGGAAATGAATACAGAAAATATGACTTATTCACCAGTGGTATTAAAATGAATTGACAGCTAAAGCACCTCTGGATTACAAGGGAATTTAAATGTAAGACTGTATTTAATAAGTGCTGAGTGGTAAGAATGCTTGATGCTTGTATATTGTGTTACAGTTACAAAATACTTCTTGTTTTATCTTGAGTTACAACAGTGGTCCTCAAAACAAACAAACAAACAAACAAAAACAAAACAACTTTGTCTGTACCAAAGAATATTTGGCAATATCAATATCTGGAGATATTTTAGTTTTACAGTTGATGGACAGATTACTATTGGTATCTAGTGGGTAGATGCTGTAGATGTTACTAAACACACAGGAAAGGTACTTCAATAACACCAAAACCCATATGGTTTTGACCCACTTATTGACCCAAATGTCAATAGAGCTGCTTTTGAGAAGCCCTATTTTATACTTAAACTTTTTGCAATTCAAACATAAATATTTTAGCAATATAATAAGACCATTATGGTTTGGAGCTATCAAGAAAACTAGGTTTCTGTCTAGCATGTGTAAATCTCTGTCTTTGATCCCTAGTGCTGAAGAGGTGGAGGGGACTTTTTTTTTAATGTGTTGAAACTGGAGAGATGATTAAATGGTAAAGAGTACTTGCTGCTCTTGCAGAAGACTCCAGTTCTGTTCTTAGTACCTACATCAAATAACTCATAACTCCAGCTGCAGGAGGCACTGACACCTTTGGCTTCCACAGGCACCTGCATTCACATGCAAATATTGCTCACCATTCATATAATTAAAATGTGTCTTGTTTGTTTACTTTGAGAAAGGGTTTTTCTGTGTAGCCCTGGCTGTTCTGGACAGACTGGCTTCCTGCCTCTGCCTCCCAAGTGCTGGGATTAAAAGCATGCACCACCACCACCCAGCCTAAAAATATATCTTTTAAAAGTTTTAAGAAAGATTTCACTGAAGAGTGTCTATTGAGCTCGGCCTTGAAATATTTATATTCAGCCAGAGAGATGGCTCAGTGATTAGGAGCACCTGTTGCTCTTGCAGAGGACCTTGGTTCAATTCCTGACACCCACATGATGACTCACAACCATCTGTGTGCAACTCTAGTTCCAGGGGACCCAACACCCCTTTCTGGCCTTTTTTTTAAAAAATATTTATTTATTTATTATGTATACAATATTCTGTCTGTATGCCTGAAGGCCAGAAGAGGGTGCCAGACCTCTTTACAGATGGTTGTGAGCCACCATGTGGTTGCTGGGAATTGAACTCAGGACCTTTGGAAGAGCAGGCAATGCTCTTAACCACTGAGCCATCTCTCCAGCCCCCCCCTTTTTTTTTTTTTTTTTTTTTCCCTTTCTGGCCTTTTCAGACACAAGACACACTTGTGGTGCATAGAGATGTGTGCAGACAAAACACTCATACACATAAAATTTAAAAATCAAAAAAAGAAGAAATATTACCATTGTTAAGATTTATATTGCCCTGCTTTGTGCCGGTGGACTTGTCTTCCTGATCTTCAGAAAGATTAAGTAACTTGCCTGGATTTATTTTGTAAATGGCAAACTTGGGGTCTGCACTTAGGTTCTGGTTCTCGAGTCCATGTTGTTCCTGTTATCCAAGTCTGTTCAAGAACTTAGAAGTAGTTAAGGGGTAGGGGATGCAAGAAAGAATGTAAGGTAGATGTATGAGGTGTGATTTTCTGAGACAGTGAATTCACAGCCTTTAGAATAAAGCACCGGGCTTGTGATGTAATGAAAATACTCAGGAAAAATAACTAAAACAAAACTGGTGAAAAAGGCCTTGAATGGGAGGATCTGTGTTTTATATAATAGATAGTTAGGTATCATTCAATACATTTTGATAGAAAATATGGTATGTGTCTTGTGTTATTTTAGATAGATGAATATGGTGTTCAAGTTTAGGCAAGACTGGGAAGGAAGGGAAGGTTATAGCCCATGTGGGCAGTTTTTGCAATATTTCAGGTATGAATATTAAGGGATGAACTGAAGACTGTCTATAAGAGCGACAGTGGCTGTGTAAGAAGAGGGGAGGGGCTGGGTTGTAGCTTCTGGTAAAACCCTTGTCTTGCACGCCTTAGGCCCTGTGTGTGAGGAGTAAGAGGAGATACAAAAGCTGTCAAGAAAGGGAATTGAGTCCTAGGGTTTTATCAATCTTAAATATGAGTGACTAGGAGAGAGGGGCGAATACTAGCAAGCTCGGAGGAGAGGTTAGACGTAAGTAAAGCAATATAATTTCCAGGCTTTAGCTTTACTTATTTGGGGGTTGTCTGATAATGACCAAGATATTCTAGGCATCATAAGCAAGAAGATGACCCTATATATCTTCACAAGGGCAGAAATCACAGAGCATAGAGCTAGCACAAGTTTTTTCCTTAGGGAGTTTTTATATTTAATAAAGGGCACTGGTAGGAAAGAGTTACATTTTAAAAGATCAAATGAATTATTTGCAATTTTTGGTTCAGTTAGAATGGTGGTGTGAAAGCCAAAGGGGAATTTTAGTTTAATTTCTGCTTAGAAGTAAAGGCACAAGAGGAGAGAGAAAAAGTCATTGGATTTTGAAATTATGGTGCTGAAATATTTAGCATGATATACCTTAATTTGAGAATTTTAACTGTGAAATAAAAAAGAAAACATTTAGTGACAATAGAAAGATAAGATTAAGTAAAGTCAACAAAGGGAGAACAATTTCCCATAAAGTTGTGGGATGTGGGACTAATATTCCTCTGGATGAAGGACTAAGTTCTTATAGAATATTCCAGAGCATTAATATATACTATAAGTGGAAATCAGGTATAGAAAGGAAATATAAGTATCTTCTCACACTGAGGATAGAAGGATCAGACGTTGTTGGACAAGTTCTGAGGTGAGAAGGAAAGAGTGGCTTCAAATATAGTAAGTTTATGTACTGAATATATTTTAGTGGGGATGGTCAGTTTTCTTAGAAACTGGGAAATAAAAATAAGTGAGGATGTTTTGTATGCTTGCAAGTATTTAAGAATACTTTAACCTGAGCATGGTGGCACACACCTGTGATCCCAGTGCTTTGGAGGCTGGGGCGAGAGGAACACAGGTTCAAGGCCAGTCTGGTTTTAAGACTGTGTCTCAAATAAATTTATTTTTTTAAATTAAAGTATTTTCCTTCAGAACTGTCATTTATTTATCAAGTAACATACTATTTGTATAGAATGGGTCAGTGGCCACTCTTTAATTACGTTTTTAATATATGTACTTTTCATAGCTGAAGCTTATCCTTTTAAGCATTGAATATTAGCATACCTCTTTACCCTTTACTGAGTAGTGTGCCTGAATATAATTTAACTTTGCCATCATTAGTTGGAGTTGAGAATGTAATCATTTTACTTTGCTTCATGAGGTCCAAAATTATTTTTTAATTGTTTTTATTGAGCTGTACAGTTTTCTCCACTCCCCTCCTTTCTTCCCTTCTCCCCTTTCCTGTAGAGGTCTAAAAAATTATTAATAATTTGTCCTAGCATTAAAGTCTGCAGACTTCTGTGTTCTGAAAGTGATTTTGTTCTACTGGTATTTTATTCTTTCTGTCGTCAACTTTTATTTTTTTTCTATTCCCCATTTTTGTTGGTTTTATTCTAGCTGTTCTTTTATTCAGTAAAGATCTGAGGAATGCTTAGGAAAGCCACTGCCCTTTACTTATGGACAAATCTTAAGTCAAAGTGGAAAGGTCTCTTTCAGGAAATAATGTCTATGATGTTACTCTGTGACTTGGGTTGTTGTTAGTTTTTTTTTTTTTTTGGTGATGTTGTTTTGAGTTGTAAATAATTCATGACTATATTTTAGATTATTGGAATTGCATGGTGTTTGAGAGCAGTGGCATTACTATAGTTAGCTTTATTGATTGCATTTAAAACTGTAGATACTATATCTAGTAATAATGGGTACTGGGTCCTTGCTTTTAAAAGTTTGTTTGCTTCAACTGATTTAATATGCTAAAACTGAAGGGAAACATGAACTGAAAAAAGGAAAAAAAAAGTCCTTGCACTTTCTAGGACCATATCTAATGAACACTAACATTTTCAAGGGATTAAATTTCTCATCTAGCAAGGAAATTTTTCCTACAGGAAAACATTAGTGATTCCTAGAGTTTAAAAAGAATTCCAGCCCCTATTTTGGGTTGTCAAATACTATTTTTAAACATCCCACTAAAGCTTGCCATTTTTAGTCTTTATTTTTGACATTCAAATAAGGACAGTGAAAACTTTATTTTATGCAGCTATAAAGAATGCTACAGATCTGCTATAGTTTCATTCCTGGGGCAAGAGTGCTGACATTATGGCATTTTCTGAGATTAAATCATCATTCATTACCTCATTTTTCCTTCTGCTATTATAGTTTTTCTTTAAAAAGACAAAAAGCAAGGGATCCAAAACTTGGTGTCATGGTTGCCAGTAGCACGTTGGCTTTGTTAGAAGGAAGTGTAGAGCCCCTGGGTCCTGAGTCTAATATTAGGTTCACCTCTGCTCAGAAGTAGGTCTCCACAGTAGGCTGGGACTGGAACTGTAAACTCTTTCATGACTCTAACAACTTTGGTAACTGAATTCTTTGTGGTTTCTACTTGATGAGTGCTGACAATCTTAAATTGTACCATTTCTATCGGCAGTGTATGTTTTGAAGATGAGAATAGAGGGCTTTTGTATATCTTCGTATTCTCCCCTCTTCTCAGAATTACACTAATGATGTTATCCAACATATTTCTTTACTTAATAGTTTCTGGTAATTTCTTTAATAAATTTAGAATTCTAGGAAATTTTTGGTCCAAGGTTCAAGATAAAACATCTTGAAGTTTTTTTGCTTTTGTTTTTGTTTTTAGCTTTAAACATTGCATGGATTAGCACTGTTCCATACAGAAACTCTTCTATGAAATAGTCATTATTTTATCAGGTTGTGCATTGAAATCAGAACAAAAATGGTACATTGTGGTACATAGAAGTACTACTGATTTGGAAAGCAAATGTACTATGTGGACAATATAAATTTTTTAAAATCCAATATTGCTGTATATAATAAATACAGTGTAAAGAATTTTAAAATAACCATGAATTAGTTTAAGTACTTTTACATTTTTATCTTACATTTTCATTTTAACTTTCATTTTTTTAAAGTCCGCAGATGCACTTTTGGTGGCCATCGACTCTGAAGTAGTGGGAGCTGTCGATATACTACTTAATCATCGACCAAAACGATCACCAAGACCAACTATAGTAGTCAGTACTCTTAAATACTTATTAATCTGGATTTTTAAGCCAAAGTAGATCTCCTGCCCCATTGCCATCTTTTCTCCCCCTCCCCAGTTTATTTTGTTTTTAAAAGTATTGATATTTTTACTTTGTAAAATATTACTTTGAAGTAAGTAGAGACAATAATAATTAATTTTGCTTTCTGGAAACCTTTTTACAATTAGTTAATATTATGTCAGTGTGAACCAGTATTTCGTTGAAAATACAGATTAGTTTCTAGGTAGATTTAAGATGTACAAGTGATGAAACCATAAAAAAGGAAGACAAAGTAGATAGTATTTAGGTAGCTGGTGTGGAAGAACTGTTTTAGTTTAAAAACAGCAGGTGAGAATTGCAGTGGCACACATTCTCATTGTTACAGAAGTTACGTCTCAATTTCGGGCGTTGGGCAAATATAGAACTATGGATACTGGGAAACAGGCTTCCAGGAAGTATCTCAAATTAATAATAGATCTGGGCCTGGCAGCAAACACTTAATGCCAGCACTCGGGAGGCAGAGTAAGGAGGATCTCTGTGTTTGAGGCCAGGCTGGTCTATATAGCAAGTTTCCAGGCCAGCTAGGGCTACATAGAGAAACCCTATCTTAATGAATAAATACTTACATACGTACATAAATATTATTATTATTAGTAGTAGTAATAGTAATAGAAAAAAGTGATAGAAAGCACCAAACTCTATTAGAAAAGAACATTTAGAAGTTTCCATAAAATAAAACATAAAATTTTAAAGTATAATTGCTAATCAAGCAAGTTACTGAATTTTGCTTATTTTTGACCAAATTAAGAAAAGTGGCCATGGTTGTGTACTATTGCAGAATCAGGTGTTTTGGAAAATATTTTACAAGGTTATCATAAACAAGAAAGATACTTGTATTCTTTAGCCTAGTGCTGTTTCCTCTGTTGTAGGAGAGAGCGGGCCTGCTTTTCATTCCATCCAGCTAGCTTACACCCAAAATAATCACACAGAAACTGTATTCATTTAAACACTGCCTGGCCCATTATCTCTAGCCTCTTATTGGCTAACTCTCACATATTAGTTTAACCCATCTCCATTAATATGTATCGCCACTTGACAGTGGCTTACCGGCATGAGTCTAACCAGCGTCCTTCTTGGGCAAGAGAACCATGGCGTCTGCCACTCTGCCCTTCTTCCCAGAATTCTGTTCTGTCTTCCCCGCCTACCTGATTTCTGCCCTATCAACTAGGCCAAGGCAGTTTCTTTAATGACCAATGAAAGCAACACAAATACAGAAGGACCTCCTACACCACTCCTCTAGAAATCTGAGAAGGAAAATAAGCAAATCATTGATTTTTATTTTATGTGTAGCAGTTTGAACACTGTTTGGCATATCCTAAATGTCCAAAAGGTATCTCAGTGGTAGAGTACTTACCTAGCATGCCCTTGATTACCTTCCTAGTACAAGAGGGGAAAAAAAAAGATAAGTATTCTAAAAGACAAGACAGGAAATATAAATAGTTTTGTATATAAACTTTGGAATATAAGACAATAATTAAAATGACTTTAAAATATTTTGAGTTAGATTTTAATGTATCCCACACTTCCCTAAACTCCATAAATAACCAAGGATGATCTTGAACTCCTGAACCTCCTACTCTACCTAAATCCCTATCATTAAAGTGCTGGGGTTATAAGTGTTAGCCACCACACCCAGCTAAAGAGAATAGTCTTAAATTAAGTTTTAGGAAAAAATATTAAATGAGATAAAATGAGGACACTGAACTATACTTATAATTAACTGATGGTTAAAAGTATACATAGAAAAGGGACTGGAGAGATGCTCGGTGGTTCAGAGCACTTGCTATTATTGCAGAAGACCTGGGTTCCATTCCCAGCACCCACATGGTAGCTCACAACCATCTACAACTCCAGTTCTAGGGTACCTATCACCTTCATCTGGCCTCTGGGTATTGCATGGACATTGTTCCCAGACATATATACTTGTGAAATAATCATACACATAAAATAAATAATATTTTTAATCCTTAAAAATGCACACAGAAAAAAAGCTATATAAATATAACCAAATGCCACTTTATAGTAGTCATTTCTTATTGATTGACCTAATTAGGGATTTTAAAAAATATTTTATTGGTTTTCTCAGTAGCAAGATAGTCATTTATGATGTTACTTTAAAATGAGATATTTTTGTACATTGAATTTAAAAAGTTTTAACATTTATTATTGTTGAAGGTATATTAATCAGTTAATCTTTTTAAATGGTTTCTGGGATTATCATCTAACTGTAATCAGAATAAAAATATTTTTAAGAACTAAACAAATTTTGCTTTCATTTGGACCACTAAAAAAAAAAACTGATGTTATAAATAGTATAAGGTGTTTGTCTATCATGCAACCTTTAGCAACACACATAGACACACACACACATACAATTTAAAAACTAGTAACAACAGGCCAGGTGGTGGCGGCACATGCCTTTAATTCCAGCACTTGGGAGGCAGATGCAGGTGATCTCTGTGAGATCAAAGCTAGCCTGGTCTACCGAGCAAGTTCCAGTATAGGTCCCAAAACTACAGAGAAACCCTGTCTCGAAAAACAAACAAACAAACAAACAAACAAAAATCTAGCAACATCAACAACAAAGTGTGACTCTTCTAGAATACTGTTTAGTTCAGATGTTGGGAAGAAACCACTAAGAAGGGCGTAAAAAGGGGGTAGCTTAAAAGGAGGTCCTTTCACTAACAGACCAAAGACAATAGTTCCATTCAGTGTCTGCCATTCATCCTGCAATTTCTGCTATATTTTTATATTCCTGCTCCACCTTCTAGCCTGGGAACACATTTCTGTCTTTGAAGCAAGGTGGAGTGCTATTTGCCATTAGAACAGTGGCAAGTATTAGTTTATCACCACTGTTCTCAGCAGTTGAAAGCCTTGGCAGTTCCCAGCTGGTCAGTGAAGAAAGCATTTGCTGCTCTGTCTCTGACAAGGTCATTTATTCAGTCTTTATCTGAATACTTACAACAGCTCTAAAATCACCTTTTAACAACTTTTTTGTTTCTAATCAGACACAAATATTTTAATATATTTTCTTTTACTACTTCAGTGAATTCATCCTATAGCCTTGACGTGTTGAATTGTCTTTTCACTATTAACTCTAAAATATGGGCTATTTACTTGAAAATATGTAGGTCATACTATCAGCAGTGAAATTATAAGTTTTAATCTTTTAACGTCTCATAGTGGTTTTCCAGGCATAAAATGCTTCATAGGAAACACAGGACCTCTTTTCAGTTAGGACTTTAAGCCTGAGAGTAAATATAACTCTTTTCAACCAATACAAAGAGAAAAAAGTGCCAATTTTAGGCTTTTATGTAACTGTTACATAAATTCATGAATATGAATCTCCAAAAAATAATTGAAAAGTACAGGAACAAACTTCGTAAAAGCAGAAAAGCATATCAGAAAATATCAAAACTTATCAGTATTTAAAAGAAAATAAATTAAAATTTTATTGTTTTTCACCCATATTAATAGTGTCAGTCCCCTTTTCTGTGAGGGAAACAATAGTATGAAATGGATGCATCCCTATATCGAGACTATAAAGCATTGAAAAGACTTTCACATTATATATCAAGAACTTCTAATTTTTCCTGGCCTTTTGACCTATACTTCTATTTTTGGGGGAGGATCTATGCTAATGAGGTAGTCCTAAATTTGTAAAAGGCTCTTTTCATAGCAGTTTGCTGTAATGTCATTTACATTGCGGAGTATCTTGAACACAGAGTCTGTGAGTTTCCTTTAAACTGTGCAAATTTCTGTGCATGATTTTGTCCCTTGAAGATCCTGGGCTCTAGAGCAATGAGATTATTTTTTTCTTTTGATCTTTGAAGTATTAAGAACTATTGCTTTTATCAAAAGCTATTGTTTTTATCACTCGTGCTTAGCACACTAGGATTTATGCAAAGTGTATCCTTCAGAGGGGGTGAAGTAAAGAAAGGACTAGAAGGAAATATTGTACTGTAAAATGTTATTTGAGTAGAAGGAATATGGGTATTTTTATTCTTCTTTCTGCTTTTCTGTATTTTTCAGATATTTTATAATGAGTGTACACTACTTTTACAGTGTTAATAAAAGTTACCAAAATGTGAACTTGATGAGCTTACTCTGGACTCAAACAGCTCTCAGGGAAACCTCTGCAAAAAAGTGAGAAGCATTGGAAAGAATATGCAATAGTCATAAAATAGTCAACCTTTTTCTTTAATCTTGATTCTTGAATTACTAATGTTTTTTGTTTCTTTTTCTCATTTCATACCATTGTAGGTGAAAGGGTTGTTGTAGTGGGAGGAGCTCAGGGTCCTGAGTAACACAGATCTGGATGTGATTGGCACCTGTGCTAGTTATGGTTCAGGCACATTAACTTCTCTGAGCCTCAGTTTCTTCATGGTTACTAATTATTCTCAGCCTAATAGTTCACCGTGGGGATGAAATGGGAGGATAAATGACTAACAGTTGCAGTTCTCATTAGTTATTGACTGTGATTGTACTGATCTTGCACATTTGTGACAGGTTGTAGACTATGCAGGGTTTGGATTGTATAAAATAAGTGGCTTCATTATTATCTGTAGGACAAGGCTGGCCACACAGGTAGAAATTTTAGTTTTTCTCATGCATTTATACTATTGCTGTTTTTAACATTCTATTTTTCCATTTTATTCTTTTCCTAAAATTCTTGTTCTTTCTCCTTATCATGCACGTTCCTATTAGTTTTTTAAAAAAATTAATACTTTTTCTTAAAGTATTTCTTTAGATACCCTTGCTTCTTTAGGAAAATGGAACTGTACTTTAGGAATGTTGCCTATTGAAGATTATGTTATATTATATAACATTTGTTAATTAGAATTGAAATTTTAAAATTTCAAAAAATGAGTTGAAGTAAAATGTATTATTCTTAAAACAATTCTAAAGTTTCTTATATGATTTTTTTTATTCCATCCTTTAGATAAGTATATTTTTATGTCACAGATAATAACCTTTGGACATTTGTATGAATATTTTTCAGAAACTTATGGAACGAATTCAGAATCCTGAATATTCAACGACAATGGATGTTGCCCCTGTCATTTTAGCTGCTCATCGTAACAACTATGAAATCCTTACCATGCTTTTAAAACAGGACGTGTCTTTGCCCAAGCCCCATGCAGTTGGCTGTGAATGCACGCTGTGTTCTGCAAAAAACAAAAAGGACAGCCTCAGACATTCCAGGTTAGAAAATGAGGGTTTGATAAGTAGAAGAGTGATGTACCAAGGTACATGTCAATGATGATTATTTTAAAAAAATATTCTCTCAGTGCAATTTCTGAGAAATGTGCTTGGGAGCCTTAGGAAAGTGAGATTTCTAGCGCCTTTGCTTATCAGGTGAATTCTGAAATTTTCAGAAATGTTTACCAAATGCTAAATAGGAAAATCCTTCAAGTTGTATATGAAGTTTATCTCATACTCTTTCTGGTGAAGCTTTTTAGAGGCATAGTTTATTAGTTCAAGAGTAGTTCCAGGTAGCAAGAATAGAAGGGCACCACTTGCTACCTTATAAAGAAAACAAAACCACTACTATATCATCATCATCTTTACCACCACCATGATGATGATCATCATCATGTTAGCTTTTTGAGACAGTCTTGCCATATAGCACTGGCTAGTGGAACTCATCTTGTAGACTGTAAAGCTGACCTTTAAGTTGCCTCTCTGCTTCTTGAGTACTTGTGGTATTTCTGGTAATTGTCTTCTACCAGAAATAGTGGTGCACACCTACTATTTCTGGTAGAAGGCAACTTTAAAACATTTATTTAAATATTTTTATTTTATGTATATAAGTGTTTTGCATGCATATATATTAGTATACCACATGTTTACAGTGAAGGCCAGGTCTTCTGGAACTTGAGGTACAGTCGCTTGTATAGGGAGCCTGGGAAACACTGAGTGAGTGAAGTCCTGAATAAATATGTATTGTTGACATGAGGATAGCCATGTTGAGAACTTCAATGGCTTCACCCTCCAGGGTGGTAAAGCCTTACCCAGGTGAGGCTCAAGAGGGGTGACATATATCTCATCAGGTGCCCAGGTATGAGTGTTTATGAAAGATTTTTTAACACAGTTTATGAGTGTGCAAAGACTAGTAACTTCAACTTCCTTCTCCCAGATGTTTGTAGCCTGAGACAGCTGCCTACAGAGATCTCCAACTGAAAATAGCTAATCCCTCCATCTGTGCTATACATATTAATGTGCTGAGAGGTTCCAGAGGTAGCAAAACCCCACCTGATCCCAGATTTTCTCTCTCTCTCTCTCTCTCTCTCTCTCTCTCTCTCTCTCTCTCTCTCTCTCTCTCTCTCTCTCTGTGTATCTGTGTAGTTTGTCCTTTCCTCATTCCTTCTTCCTTCTCATACTTAGTTAGGGCTCCAGAACCCAAGCTTCACAGGTCGTGTTATACTTGTTTCCCATTGTGTGGATGCCAGGACTGAACCTAGGTCCTGTGCAGAACAAGAAGTGGTCTTAACCACTGAAATATCTTTCCAGTTCACAGACTTAATTTCTCACTAAATATTTTAGCTATTCATGCCTCTTGTTTTCCCTCTTAGACCATATTTATATTTTACTTCTTTACTATTTATCATCTTTTCCCATCTCCCAGTTGAAATGTTAAGATCAAGAAAAAGCACCTGCCTTCTATAGGTCTCACAAGATCATCCCATGGACAGTTTTATTACTGTGGTGGTCAGCTGATTGAGAAGTCAGTCTGAAAAGAATAAGCCTTTTCTCTGCTTTAATATGGTTTTGATTCTCATGTGGCCGTGTTGCGATATGGCCAGTCTTAGACATGGTAGCACACATCTATTACCTCATTACCTAGAGTACTGAGGCAGGAGAATCATAAATTTGAGGCCAACAGAGGGTATTTAGAGAAGTAAAATTACTTGGTCTTAGGTATTATTATACATAGTATCAAAAGATGTTTGTATTGTAATGAAGCAACCTCTTTGGTCCTTGATTTCCTTGTCTGTAAAATAGAGCTAAGTATTTAATAAATATTTACATAATAAATACTAACTAGAAAAAGTGTGATGTTCAGTTTTTATTGGATGTACATAACTTTTAGCACTTGCAAAGTAGGAAAGCTTAGAAATAGTTGTAAGTTGAACCTTCCAAGTTGAGGAGCATCAGTGTAGTGATGCACCTCTTGATGGCATCAACATGGGTAAGGAGGGATAGTATATTTTCTCTTACTGTAAACAGGTGAAGCTTTCATATCTGATCACACAGTCCCAAATAATTACAAACTGATTGGCTGTTCAGGCTTATTACTAACTAGCACTTAACATTTAAATTTACTCATTTCTATTAATTTATGTATTATCCTATGGCGTGACTTTTACTGGTCACTGGCATTTTGTTCCTTGGGTGACTGCTTGTGTCTCTCTCAACTCTGCCCTTCCTCATCTGAGTCCTCAGTTTGATTGTTCTGCCCAACCCTATCCTGCCTGGCTATTGGTCAAACAGCTTTTATTATTAGCCAATAGAAACAATACATATTTTTAGTGTACATAAGCATTCCGTAGCATTTCCCCTTTTCTATCAAAAAGAAAGATTTTAACTTTAATATAGTAAAATTACATATAACAAAATAATTATTAAGTAAGAATTATAATATCTAGTCTGTATTTGACAAAAGTAGAAAAAATATTATCTATCTTGGTGAGTCTAAAGTTTTATATATAATTTATCTTTTTATCATTACTAAGAAAATCTATAATTATAACTGTCTAGTCTTCAACTCCATCAAAGACCTGAGTAGGAAGTAATATTACTTGAGTAAGCAGGAAGTGCAAGTGACTTCCAAAAATTTAAGAAATGACAGAAGCATCTGGCTGCCTGAACAGTCACCCAAGTTTTCTCTGTAATATTAGGGCATCTAACTTTGGCCTACGGGCCTAGCATATCTGACAGACTTTCCTATGAAGCAGGGAACTTTGAAGGACTAACTTACCTTGCCTTGGCAAAAGTTGGCAGTCACCTTTGTTAGTGTCCTGCTGGTCCAGTTTGAACAGTAACTGTCAGCAATTGAGACAAGGACATTTCTTTGCCCTCATGGCTAGCTTTTCCCACAAAGAGAACAAACTCCACACAGAGTTTATTTGATGCCCACCATCTTCTATGGAGTACATTGTTGCTGCCAGGAGTAGATGTGTCTCACTGTCATGAAAATCTAAGTTATTAAGACATGTTAAATGCCATATTCTGTAGGTCTTTGAAATGTTTGAAGAATATCTATCTGAAATATATCTTTGTATATCTAGAAAACCTAACTAACATGACTATAGGTTTGACTGTTATAGATGAATAACACTATTTTTGTAAATCCGCATTTCTTAATTATGTGCCGCATTTTTAATTAAGCTGTATAAGCACAATATCTTAAGCAAGAGTAGAAATATACCTACAGTATAACAAAATTAAGCTTAAATTTATATCAATAACTAAAATCTATACCAATGTAAAATATTTTGAGATTAGTGTTTGTTTTTTGGATTATAGTAGATTCAATAATCTATCTTTTTCTCCATCATTTCTATATCATATCCCCCTTTCTTCATTTAGAAAGAGATTAACTATGACCAATAACAATTTATAACCAACCCCTCCTTAAATGAAAACAAACATTCATAAGCAATATTTTGAGAATTTGGGCATAGTTCTCTAGACAACTTTCTGCTGATTGCTGGATGCTGGTAATCTTTGAGGAACCCTGAGGAAATAGAGAATTACGGTTGTATCTTGCCTGTAGTAGTCTGTGAGACTGCATCTTCTCAGCCAGTTACCTTGAAGCTGTTCTGGATGTTGGATTACCTAGGTTATTGCTCCCATCAGAGACCTTCCTAGATCTAACCATGTTAGCCTGGAAGGAATCCACAGCTTCTCATCTTCTGTGGAAACAAAAGCAGAACCTCTTTTCCAAAGCAACATATCCTTTAGCCCAAATTTTGAAGTTAAGATATCTTTAACATATAAAATTTATGATTTAAAATATATAGGTTGGTTTAACTTTGCAGTCCCCACAATCAAATGTCTCTAAGTAGTTAGCTCATTAACAACCAAAAAAAATCCAAAGAAAACACAATAATATACATAATCCAGACTCTATGTATTTTCCATCTTTACATAACTTAATTATATATTTTTTAATTTCTCTATTACTTTAAGGGATTTATTATTTTAAGTCTTTTTTTTTTTAAAATCTGTGACTGTTTATACCCTTTATCCTCTCTCTCTCAAGCCTATGTACATTTGAAACATACTGTGACCCATTTAGAGGCTTTTTTTTTGTCTGAATCTGTCTTTATTGTGTTTTTCTGACCTTTTTTATTTATATGAGTAAAGTGACCTGGCACTCACAGCTCAAGTTCAAATAGCTCAGTTAGTAGAGCATGAGACTTTTAATTGCATGGTCATCGATTCAAGCCCCACATTGGGTGCCAGATAAAGAGGAATGGATCTCTGGGATTAAGTCAGATTTGTTAAACAGGTGCAGAATATAAAGTACACTCATAATACAGAATGAGGCTCTAACACTGCTGATGTTTTAGCTGCTGATCCTCATTCCCAAGGGCAATTGGGGAGTTACAGGAAGGTCACCAAGCTGCTGCCGCCAGTGAGCCCTCTACAATCTAAGAGAGCACCTGACCCTCACCCTCCATTTTGACCCAGTCACGTATTCCCAGAAAAGACTATGCCCATATTGTCTGATAGACCAAATCCCCACAACATCTTAGTATATGACTTGTCCACTCATTCTCTTGACCTGTGAATTATTTTTAAATGTGTTGTGTTTTATATACATTTATACAAAGGATTCCCAGATTTCTTTCTATTGGTAACTTCTCCCTTAATTCTGAAGGATTGGAGAGTATAATTCTTTTCTAATATAGTATTAAGTAACAAACTAAGTTCACTCTTTTAAAATGTAAAATTTAGGCTATGTGGTGGTTTGAAAGAAAATGGCTTCCAGGTGGTGGTGGCACACACCTTTAATCCCAGCACTTAGGAGGCAGAGCCAGGTGGATCTCTGTAAGTTCAAGGGCAGCCTGGTCTACAAGAGCTAATTTCCAGGACAGGCTCCAAAGCTACAGAGAAACCCTGTTTTGAAAAACGAAAAAAGAAAAAAGAAAGAAAGAAAATTCGGGATCAACCTACCCCTGGACCCAGCAATACCA